ATGTTTTCATCTTTGCCCTTTGAATTTGTCACCTCACCATCTTCTTCCAAGTGTCTCTTCGACTCCCTATCCTTCTCCATCTTCTCCTCTAGCCCGAAACCAGAGACCTCTCCAGCTCGGTCTTTTCCAGTCACCTTCTTTCCCAACATTCATACCTTCCTTCACTCGAGCCCTCTTCCTCCACCTCTAAGAACATCCCATATTACTCCTTCAACTATGATTCTCAGACCATACCTATCCCCTACAAATTTTAAGGTTCATCTTATTTGGAATTGCAGAGGCATCCTCCACTTCAACCAATATTATTGCCATATCTAGCTTCTCCCATGTTCTGTTATTTCCAGTCTCTTCAAATGTTAAAATGATCCATGCGTGCAGTGGGATGCCCACTACTTCAATCCAAACTTCTTCACTCGAACCTCCTCCTTCATCTTCATCTTAATAGAAATTGAGAATGACTCTCAAATGGTGATTAATTGGGCTCTCAGAAGGCCATAACCGTGTTGGTTTTCCATAGCATTTCTTCCAGATAGATTGTAACAAGTTGCAGATTTGTCCTAAAATTATGAAAAGTTTTAATATAAGATCCAGTCTATCCATCTAAGGAGCATAGTGATAGTGTAGCCTCACAGCTTCTTGGGTTCACTTTAATGGATCATGTTCCATTTTAATAAGAGCAATGGACTTCATTGATTTTTTTATGAGATCTGTAGGTGTGAGATATTATTTTCTAGGTTTAATCTTTGGACTGTGTTAACATAAAAATCTGGAGAAATCTCTATACAATATAATTCATATTCACTCAATTAAAGTATTGAATTTTATTATTTTTTAGCAAGGCCTATTAAGGGTATCTTTTAAATGGTTCCCTTAATTACATCTCTGCAGAGGGCAAAAAAAAACCTTTCGATTTCAACTCAAAGAAAACATAAACAAACGAAAGAATGAAAATTACAATCACATGATAACAGTTCTCAATCGATCCCTTTTGAATCTCTCTCAAATTTTGAGAGATGGAAAGAGAGCATAAATTCTAGTGATCAAACACAATAAACATACTTGATAGAACATGGCAATCTGTGCCATTATTTAATCAGGTTATAAGCATATCTGAAATTTTGATACCTAGCTAGAGGAAGACTGCAATTTCTGCAACTGGCAATCTCTTCCTTGAAATTACTGCAATTATCTTAGTTAGGCTGAATGTAATATGCTTTTCTTCAGAAGTGAAAGGGGCTTTTACCAGCATCTTGCTTTGATTTTCTGAAGCGTGAAACATGCCAAGTTGATATTTAATAGGGTTATAGGCACCTTTCTTCTCTTTTGTTATCTTATTTCTTGATTTGTAGGGGACTGCAATCAGCGAGACACAAAACATGCAACTTTGTAGACTTTGTTGTCAGTGTTATATATATATATATCATATTTAGATACATAATCTCTCCTCGACCTCCTTGTGTCATTACTACTTTAGTTGTGGACCTGAATTGTTGTGCGTATATCTTTGTCCCATAACTACTTCTAGAATTCTGTTGGATAACTGATTGGTTGACAAGATATATTAGGTGCTTGTCACAAAATCATTTTGTACATCCATCAGATTTCAGCAGTGTTCATTTTTTTTTTTGATAAATATTTCAGCAGTGTTCATTTGGAATGCTCATATTTACTTTTGAATGTCTTTCAGTGTTTATAATGACTTAATCAAAAAATGCTGCCAAGAGGCGGCATGAAATGACTCTCCAATCTGTAGAAGAGGAACACAATAAAATTTTTGATCAAAGACCAAAATAAAAGAAATTATTTTTCCTTTGCTTGGTTCCCTTGCAAGATAGTATCATTATTATCTACACTCATCATTCTTTCTGAATTCCAGTATACGACAAACAGAATAGCTTCAAATTATTTAACCACCTCTACTTATTCTATCAACCCACCATAAGATCTATCACAAAGAAAGGCAATCACACTTAGGTAACACAACCAAAACAGAGTGAGAGGACACCAAACCTTACTCAGGAAAATGAAACACACCAATTGGTGGTTAACTTATCTGCCATCAATTGACAAAAAAGCATCTTTCAGTATTTAGAGATATTACCACCACTTTTTAGGGTCTAGGGATCATTGCTTTGTGCAATGTAAAATCTCAGGTTGACAAGCATGACAATGCAGGTTCAAGTCTGAGAATGATCACACATATGCCAAAAAAAAGCCAAAGGTTAGGTCCATATCCAGTCCACTGATCCACCCTTCCCTAGTCCAATGATCACACATTGGGAAATGCCTTTGATCACCACTTCTAGGATACAAGCAACTTGATACAACCAAACTTTGAGTAATGGGTAGAAATGTTTAATGTTTAAGAGAGATAGGTGGAAGTGGTGATGTTGTTGGAAAGTCTTTTTATCTCAAGGAAAGTTGTTAGAGCCAAAGTTTTTGATATTCGGATACTTTTGTTTTTCTTTTTGATCTCAAAGAAACCTGTTAGAGTCAAAACTCTGTGTTATCAGTTTTGTTCTTTTATCTATGTCTATATATGTATGATCTCCATATCCACTGCATAGAGAGATTATTGTTTAGAGTATTAGCAAAATAAATTGTTAAACCTGTAGATTTACTGATTTTTGCATCATTATTATATCTTAATTTTCCCCCATTTCTCATCTCTTGCTTCCCTATTTGACATAGGTTGGAAAAACTCACGTTCAGAGAATCTACAGAGAAAAGAGCTTAAGCTAAAACAAGAAGAAGAAAGTTCTTCACTGAATAATTAAGAGAAAATTCTAATTCAACTACTTGACTGACAATGGGCTACTCCTTATATAGACTATGATTGCACTCTTTTGCCTCCTACAAGAAAGTTTTCTAATCTAACTTGCTACTCATTAGAGACCAACTAAAACTCTAACCTTCAAAATGATGTATAAATCATAATGGACGATATTTTTAGAAATGTATAAAAATCTTCTCATTTGGTTTAATGATTATAAGTTATAATTCATTCGGAATATGCTGCCACGTGTGCTTGAGTAGGATAAAGGATCTATGCTTGTAGCATTGGCTTGTTATGTCGCAACTGTGCTGATTTGTGGTGGCTTTAACCTGGAAGATGAAACAGTATATTGTTGTTGATCTGCCTGATGCAGACATAGAAGTGAGGAAAGAATTCTATCCGTGGAAAATTAAATCAGTTTTTCCATTTCTGTACCAGTTTCAGAATTTTTGGGTCATAGGATATTGCTATTGGTTGAGTTTTTAAAATATATTTGATACGTGTCTTAAGGATATGGTTTTAATTTTTCTAAAAATTTGCTATTACTTTGAAATTTCTATTTATGGTAACTTTCTGTTTTACTATTTATAGTAATTCCCATAATTACTATTTATAGAAAATTCATGATTTACGTTTTTGTAATTTCTGGTATCTTTACATTAGGTTAGTTTCAGTAGGATTATTATAAGTGATTTTAGAGTTGTGTAGTGTTAGGAGTTGGTGTTCTTAAATGAGATTCACTATGGGTTACTTACTGATTTGTCTTAGTTCTAAAGCAATTGGAAATTGATTAGGTCAGTTTCATAGTTCAAATTGGAGTGTGTAAAGGGACATCTAAGTTCGTATATCGAGTCTATAGATAGAATCACTGTAATAACAATTGAAGAAAAACTGATATGATGAAATATAGTTTGGTTCAATGGATTTTGGTTGTTGCCAAGAATTTTCCCTTCTTTCTTCTGAGTTCTGTCTCTCACCTATTTGTTCTTCTAAGTGATCTATTTCTTTGCTGTTTACCCTAACAGCAAGAGCTCTCTCTCTCTCTCTCTCTCTCTTTCAATTTCTTGCTCATTTTTTGGTTGACAGCATGCTATCTACTTGCTTTTCCATCCATATTCTTCATCTCTAATTGTCCAAAGCCCTTCTTTAACCCCACAAAGGCCACCATCACATCTGAAATTTGTAGGACAAAACTCTGCCCTACATCATTACCCCTATTGAAAGTAACTGCTTGAAATTATATGTCTTAGTTTCTATGTTTTTCATTTACTTTGTGGAGCTTGTTATCTGTGATGGATATGCTTGTCATGCTATAAATAGGTTTATTTCCATTGTCACCACCTAAAAAGTTATAGCATATGAGAGCTTTATTCCTTTTTTTGTTAATTATAAATAGCATTTAGTTGTAAACAACACAATTAATACACCATGAAAACTGTTCATTCTTCACTTTCATTCAATAAATTTAGAGACAGTTTCTTTCTAAAGCTGGGCTATTCTACAAGTTCCAACTCCCAAATGTCAGACAAACAATTAGTGCAAATCAACAAGACAAGTCTAGTGGGTTTTACTGGACAAATCCATATCTCACTACCTACATAGTGGAGCAGGATAAAATAAAAAATGAAGAAAAAATAATAATAAAGACAAAAAGCTTTGGTATGGGGACATTGGATGATGAACAAAATTCTATCTGGGGATTGCAGAATAATGACTTGCCACATGTCTATTTTAACACCTGGATGTTTATACTGTATTTATTATAATGTTCATACTCACACAAATTCCCTTAAGAACAAAGACTTTCAAATACTTTTTTTCTTCCCCAAGATTGGATGGTTAATATTCAATTAGCCACACTGATATTCCTGTTTTGGTATAGACAACCTGGTAAGTTGACCAGTTTAGTGTTAGATCTGATAGTTTGAGTGTATAACATATGGTAGGGAAGGGACCAATTATATTCATGTTTTCTTTTCTTTAACCAGGAAAGATTTGGCTTTCTTTTGTTTCAACTTTTCAAGGATTGGAAGGACTTGTACAAGACTGTAATGTTGGAACTAAATTGTGTCTGACTGTATTGTTAAAAAGTGGAGGAGAACCATTATTTATTCCCCATAACTGACTAGCCTTTAGGCACTTTGTTTAAACCCAAAATATATCAATGTATGTTTAGTTTATTTTACGGTTGAAGTTACATTCATTGTGGATGATGATTTTCCAGGTAAATATATCAAAAAGTTCTCCTGGATCATCAAATATATCTGGTGCTAGCTCAATAAAGGAGGACCAGTATCAACAACCATCAGGTTTGTCCTTTTAGAGGAATATGTTTGGAATCTTATAAGTATTTCATGAGATGTATTTAAACTACCTCTTAATACATGGTGAAGAGAAAAATTACACAAACCATGTGTGCATGTTTGTGGTGGTCTTTAACATTTATGGCCTCTCCCCCTTCCTCAAAATAGAAAATGAGCATCTGCAAATTAACTTAACTCAATGTAGCATCATTTCATTATTTTGGGTTGGCTATAACAAATCCCATTTTATCATTACACTCTATGAAAGTCTGTATTTTTTATCAAATGACCTGTCTTTTCTCATCAATTCTACAAACATCCTTTTCTGTCTTTTCTTTGCTGTATTAGAGATTTGAACTTGCACCAAATTCACTCTGCATTGATGAATGACAACTAGTAATTTGTTAAGCATAAGAAGAGAAAACTGATGAACAGTACAAGCAACCACTCTCCTAGTCATTCCACTCATTGATCATGATATTCACAACTTGCTATAACTATTCCATCTATGCATTTTCTTATTGCTAACTGAAAATTTTTCATTAGTGAGAAGATGTACAGTTGTAGTTACATTTTGTACATTAAATAGGGGCCTTTGCTTGGTGTAATGGTAAACTCTTGGGCTGGCAAGCATGCGAAAGGGGGCTTGAGTCTAAGTTAGCAGCCACTTTGTGCAAAAAAGGAGCCAATGGTTAGGTCCATATTTCAGTCTACCCCTCCCAAGGCCTTCCCATTATTGCTCCCCCGAAGCTCCAACTGGAGCTTTGACTTACAAGATACCTTTACCCTAAAGCCTATCCACCTCAGATCAGAACCTGCTTAGTAAGTTCTTGTCAGGCTAGGGAATCAGCAATAGAGTTTGCATCCTTGGGAATCCGGACAGTCGCTGCTTCCAATAAATTGGCCAAGTGCCTTCCTCACTGATCAAATATCTTAGCTGCCATGGACGTTCTCTGTCTCCATTCAGCCAACCAGTAACTGGGGCTTCGGAGTTTTAAATCCTTGAATGAAGCCTGTTCCTCTAAATGGCATTGGAGGTTTGGTGTTGAGAAAGATTAGCCCTGGCAGAAGGTAATTGGAGAAAAGTATGGTAGTAGAACCCCCTTATTGGGACACTACACCCTCATCTCAGTCTTTTGTCTTTAGCCTTTGGAGGGCATCATGTTGGCTAGTGAGGACTTCAATCATTAGATTTGTGTTTTCCCTGGAAATGGGTCAAGCACCTACTTTGGAAGGATAAATGATGTGGGCAGGAGGTTCTTTGCACTGGATTCCCAAGTCTGTTCTTGATTTCCACCAATAGGGTGCTACTGTTTGAGGTTGTTATGATTTTCAGAGGCAGGCATCTCTCGGTGTCCTCAGTTCAGGTGCAACCTGAACAATTGGGAAATGAGGCCTGTTTGCAGTTGCTGAAACTCCTAAGTGGGGTTCATGTCCAGCCTTCTATGCCTGACCACAGAACATGAATTGGTATAAGATCTGGTTTCTTCTTAATTGGGTCCTGCTACAGCTAGTTGGAGGATGGGTTGGCAATGGCATTGGTTGGTTGGGCCTGGATTTCTAACACCGTGATGCCACTGAATGCCAATTTTCATTCGGGCTGCAGCCTGGAACAAGATCCTTCTGAGAGAAAACTAATCCCTTAGAGGGGTATTGGTTGCTAACAGCTTTGGGCTGTGGGCATGCCTGGTGAGTCTTCAAGCCATATCTTTATTCAGTGCTATTGGCCACCAGGTTGTGGCACAACTTCCTTCATTTGTTTAGAAGACATTGGATGCTGCACGATAGTTTGGATGAACTGCTTTCTGCAAGGATATCTGTGTGTTAAAGTTGGAAAGGCCACATCCTCTGGAACCTTGTGGTTCTTGCTATATGCTGGGCTGTCTAGAAGGAGTGCAACTTGTGTACATTCGAGTCCAAAGCCCTCTCCTATGGAGGCTGTAATCCAGCTGGCTGAATGCTACCTGTGCTTCTGGGTTTGGGCCTCTTAACACTTTCAGGGAATCTTGTACTCCCATCTTCTAATTGGGTGGGCATTTTGTTTGGACAGTGTGATTTTGTTTTTTTGTAAATTCTTGGATTTGGTGCCTTGAGTATATATCTTTATACTCTTTTTGTAAAACAAGGGTTTTTCCCTGTTTTAGTAATACAAAAATACCACTTAACCAGAAAACATTTTAGAATCCCTGTTTATGTATTTTGATGTTCTACCCAGTCTGAGACCCTGTAGACATGAAGCTCTGGTCTTATAGATTTCCCCACACCTTTTGGGCCTGAATAGGTTACCCCTGTGGTTTCTATATTGTCCTTCAACACCTTGTTCATCTGCTAATATCTCTATCTTTTTGAGTGGATGTTGATGATGCCACTACTAGCCAATTTCTTTGGATACCATCTACTTTGAATTGATAGAATACCTCCTTGGTTTTCACCTAGTATAGGGATTGATTTTTATCGAGCCAATTAATGCATTTCTGGATTGTAATTTGAATGAAAAGATTCTACTGTATCTGGTTTCACCTAGCAGCAAGTAAAGCAAGAAAATGTTCCCATATGCTGTTTACATTGTAGGATTGTTTTATATATGTTGATCAACCTGATTGGTTGAATCACATTTTTAGAAGAAATATGAAATGTTCCCAACAACTCATTACAATTAGTATGAGAAAATTTAATGATTTTATTAATTGTAGTGAGACTAAGGAGCTTCCTCTTGTTCCTGGCCTTTTTACTTGGTCCAACTTCCAAGAAAGCCCAACTTACTCAAAGCTTGATAGATTCCTTTTTAACGAAAGTTGGGAAAATCATTGGAAACACTTGTTACCCAAAGCTCTATCTAGAGTTACCTCTGACCATTGTCTCATTGAGCTAGGATAAGAACCTTTCAGGAGTGGACCCAAACCCTTTAGATTTGAAAATATGCAGCTGACACACCCATATTTTGTAAAAAAGATTGAGGAATGGTGGAGTCAAGATATGAGGGGGGTGAAGTGGAAAGAGGTGAGATTTCATAAGTTGAAAAGCTTGAGGGTGAACTTAAGAGAATGGAATAGGGAGCATTTTGGGAGGATAGAGGAACATAAATTCAATCTGATGACCCAGATAGTGGACCTGGATGAGAAGGAATTAGAGGTGGAGGTTGAAAAAGAGAATTAAGGTGGAGGTTGAAAAAAGGAATTAGAGGAGGTTCTTTTGCGAGAAGAGATCTCTTGGAGGTAGAAATCTAGGCATAAATGGATCAAGGAAGGTGACAGGAATACCAAATTTTTTCATGAGATGGCCAATGGAAGAAGGAAAAACTTGGTGAAACTTGAAGTGGATGGTGTGGACTTGGACTCTCAAGAGGAAGTAGCCAATTGTTTTGTAGCCCACTTCAAATCTATCTTAAGGAAACCTCTAGCTAGTTGAGTGGAGTTGGCTGGTTTGGATTGGCCTACACTTTCTGAAGAGATTAAATTGTGGTTGGAAAGGAGTTTTAAGGAGGAGGAAATCCGACAAGCACCTTTCTCAATGGATAGATCTAAGGCACCAGGGCCAGATGGCTTTACTATGGGTTTCTTTCAAGACTGTCGGAGCATAATTAAAAAGACTGGCAAATACTAGAAAAGGTTTATCATTTTGTTAACAAGCATCTATTAAATACTGGCAAAGGTCTTATCTTTGAAGATCAAAAAGGCTCTTGCCCCCCTCATAAGTCAAGCTCAAGGTGCTTTTGTTCATGGCAGACATAGTTGACCAAATTCTAATAACAAATGAAAGTGTAGAAGAGATGAGAAGATTAGGTAGGCAAGGTTTTGTTTGGAAATTGGATCTTGAAAAGGCCTATGATTTAGTGGGTTGGAGTTTTCTTCCAGAGGTGCTCAGTAAGTGTGGTTTTGGGGATATATGGTGCAAGTGGATAGGTGGCTGTCTGACATTTTGCCATTACTTAATTCTAGTAAATGAGGTAGTAAAGGTTTTTTTCCTAGCATGTAGGGGCTTGAGACAAGGTGATCCGTTGTCCCCTTTCCTCTTCACATTGGTTGGTGATGTTTCTATAACCATCTTTCCTTAATAACTATCCATAATTTTCATAAGAAAATTATAGACTTCATGTTTAAGTTTAGAAAATCAACATATTGAGAAGAAAAAGAAGAAAGAAAAGAAAATTCAAAAAATATGGGGACTGAACCCCTATTTTTGTTATAGGAAAAGAAGAAGAAGAAGAAATGTGTTGATTAGACAAAACTTTATAAGTTTTTCCTTTACTTATTGGTTCAGATTCTGAAGTCTTTGAGGGTTCAATACAGTAGTTAGCAATTCTTTGTGTTGATTAAACCCTAACAAATAAGACAATAATAAAAAGAAATTAGTTTATAAACACAAAAAATGAATATTTTTGTTTAATAATGTCTATTTTATAATTATAATCTCAAAAAAGTAACAATATAAAAGTATTTTATAAGACAGTATACAAAACTGCTTAGCGACTGGGCGAGGTGAGCCTCCAAGGGCGCCTTGTCACCTAGGCATCGCCTTGACAACTATGACTGTTGCTTGCTTAGAATGCTCTATTTTTGCTTGGCCCTTGACCTATCTAGGACTTCCCCTAGGTGCAAATCCAAAGGAAAGTAGGTTTTGGAACCTAGTGGTAGAAAAGTTTGGAAAAAGGCTGGTGACTTGGATAAAAGAACTATATCTCTTTGGGGGGGGGTAGAATAACTTTGATTAGGGCCACTCACAAACTTACCCATCTACTTTTTGTCTGTTTTTAAGATACCTGTTAGGGAAGTCGAGAAGATAGAAAAGTTGATGAGGGATTTCTTGTGGTAGCTAGGTGTGGAAAAAAGTATCATTTGATTAGTTGGAACTTGGAAGGTGGTGAGTCAAAGCAACGAACAAGGGGGCTTAGGGTTAGGGAACCTAGTTAATAAGAATGAAGCTCTTTTGGGCAAGTGATTATGGAGGTGGCCTCTGGAAAAAGAGAGATTGTGCACAAGGTGGTGGCTAGTATTTATGGCTAGGGG